GGGCATGGCCAGGGTCCTGCGCACAGACACTCTCGGGAGCTTTATTCCTGCTTTTCGCTTCAGATTCAACAAGAATTTATACGTAAAAAAGGGCCCAAGCGCCATGTCCCATTGGCTGATGGGAACACAGGAAACCCCCCCCAAATGAGACCACCCCCTCCCCCCAAAAGGACAGCAGGTACCAGCAGAAGCTCCTGGGAGCTAGTAGGGGCCAGATCACACCCCTCCCCCCACCACTGTCCACATCTCCGGTGGAAAGGGTTTGGCTTAACCCCTTAAAACCAGTGGGTGGAGGGCTCTGCCCCTCGGGGCCAGGGTCCCCCCTGGGGCTCGGCGGCCTGCGAATGGCGCGAGTTGAGGCTACAGGCTGGAGGAGGAGGGAGGAGCTGGCTGCTCAGGCCCTGCCCCTGACACTTTTCCTGGGAGTCAGGAGTGTCCCGTGCGTGGATTTGATGGGGACCAGGAGCCAGGCACAGCCCCACCCCGCGGGGTACAGCCAGTCTCGTTTGGTCCCAGGTGTTCTCCTGGCAAGCACTGCCCTCGCTGGGGCACCAGGACCCAGCCTGAGGGGCCTGGCTCCGGATCAAGCTCAGGTCTGGGAACACAAGAACAGAGTTGCTGCCCCAAACGGGGGCTCTTCCTCCATCAGTCCCCTCAACCGAGGGGCTGGGGGCGGCAGACGACCTGCAGAGCTCCCCGCTGAAGGGGGAGGCGGGTTCCAAAGGCCAGGCAGCCCCTGGCTGGTGGTAGACGGCAACTAGGCAGCCAGGCCCCAGCTGTCGAAGCCCTGCGGCTCCCTGGGACTCACGCAAAGATGGTCTCCTCCCGTCTCTTCTTGGTGAGGATGGTGCCCGGCTTGTGCTGGGCATCGGGGTGGTTAGCCAGCTCCGGGGGACACGACGACACCGGGCTCTCCAGGATGGCTTGCTTCAGGTCGTAGAAGACTGTGGAGTCCTCCTTGGTCAGGAAGGTGATGGCCACTCCGCTCTTGCCGGCTCGGCCCGTGCGGCCAATCCGGTGGATGTAATCTGCAGAGAAGCACCGCGGTCACTGAAATGCGGCCACCTCTGGGGTGGGCCATGGCAGCTGCACCGTAGCAGCTTGGCCAACTGGTGGAATTCAGGCAGGATGTCAGGACTGAGCAATTGCCCTGGGATCTTTAACGACCCCCTGGTTTGTCGCCTCTGAAAGCTGGGGCATGCAGCAGCAGAGCGCCCCGACCATGGGGCAGGGGCAGCCCTGAGCCCCCCACCCTGCAGCTTCCCGTCTTTTCCCTGGTCGTTGCCCATCGAAGTGCTGAGCCAGGCCGACCGCGCTTAGCTGTGGGGCGAGGGTCTGCGCAGTGGGACCGGGGAAGCCTCTCTCGAGGCCAGCCCTGCTCCCACGGCCGGGACTCACCTTCGATGTTCTTGGCCATGTCGTAGTTCACCACCATGGAGACGTCCTGGATGTCGATACCACGCCCAGCCACATCCGTGGCTACCAGAATGTCCTTGGCACCGGCCTTCAGGTTGGAGAGGGCGAATTCTCGCTGCTCCTGGCCTTTGCCACCGTGCAGGGTGCAGGCGTTGTACTGCGGGGGGGAGAGGGGAGACCGTAGTGCAGGGCTAGGGCGGGAGCTCACCGCAGGGCCGCCCACAGCTCAGCACGGGGCCAGCGGGAGGGAGGTGAGGGCCTGGGAGATGGGGTGGATCACACAGTTCCTGTCAGGGTGCACCCAACAGCCCCTGGGCTTGGAGCCTGTCAGCTGATGGCTTGTCTGCAGGGCAGTGGGGGAAGGGGCTGGATGCAGAATCGGGCAGTACTAAGGAATGGGCGCCCTTCCCCCCGCAGCCCCCCCAGAGGCCCCAGGCTGGCGAGGCAGACCCTGGCACATGGGGCTCTGCAGAGGGAGGCGGGAGGCGCCCCACAGGCTGGGTGTGACTCCGGCAGTATCCTCCCACAAGGCGGCAGTAACTCTCAGCGAGTTCAAGCGACCAGGCCGAGCCGCCAGCAGCAGGAACCCCTGAGCCCTAGAGGACTGGTCAGGCCTAGTTCTGACCCAGACCCAACGTCACCTGGGTCGACCCGACCCCTCCCCTCTGAACCCGAGTCACTGCCCACGGGTTGGCACAGCGGCAGCAGCTGCGTACCCAGCCCCTGCCATCCGCTGCCCCGTGGCGCTGTGCACGCTCACGCCAGGGCGCACGCAAGCCAGCCCGCGGGCAGCAGGAGACCCCGCTGACCTGAGGGGTCTGGCTGTTTTCCCACCGGACTCGAACGCTGCTCAGCGCTCCCGACCCACGGAGCAGCACTGGGCTCCGCCAGACGGGCAGGGGCTGGGACTATGGGGGCCCTAGAGCTGCTCAGCTCTGCCCTGGCCCCGCAGGGTGGACATGGACACTCCTCAGGGGCTGACACGTACCCCCATCTTCTCCAGGGACTTAGCCAGCACGTCGCAGCCCTTCTTCTGGTTGACGAAGATGATGATGGGCGGGTCGAAGCCCTGCTCCAGTATGGCCAGCAGCTTCTTTCTGTTGGGGGGGGGGGGGGGCGAGAGGGGTGTGT